TAACTCCAGCATGGCTGGGTGGCTCCATGACAATCGCTCCACTTTACCGCTGGAGGGAGAGGCAGCTAAGAAATTTGTGCAGGTCACACTGTTAAAGAGGCATAAACCTAAGTGATACTGGCAGTCAAGGTTATATACAGCAATACAGCAATTGCAGAGCATAATGGGGGCAGGAGCAGGAGTGAGTGTGCTCTGGGGTGGGCGCAGGGGCACTGAGAGACCCCGAATGGGACCACCCTGCGAAGGCAGCAGCTGCTCTGAGCTGCTGGGGCTGCTCTCGGATTCTGCAAAAAAGGCTCAGGCTGACAGTGTCTTCCAGTGCTGAGTCCTCCTGCTCCTGAGTCCCTCCTTCACACCTGATCTCCGGCCCTTTCCCACGTGAGATGCACTGGAGGCTCAGCAAACAGCTTACTGTAGAGAGAGAGGGTGAACGGACCAAGGAAGGGGCTCAGCTCCCTTCAGCCAGCGGGGAGCCCTGAGGCCAGCCCCTCCCTGCTCCAGGACTGCTCTGACACCACCTAGCGGCTTTTGGGGACAGTGCTGGTGGCCCCAAGGCTCCTGATGGCTAAGCGGTGCCACCTCCTCTACAGGTCCCTGGAGGCTCTCCTGATGGAGAGACCCAGATGGCTTCCCTTGGGAGGACACTCCCCTCTCTGTTTTGGGGGTCTGCAATTTTGTACAGAGATTTTCTTAAGGAAGTGCTCATCCGGATTTCATGCACTCAGGAGACGCAGGTTGCCTGGTTTCCCCTGAACTCAGCCTTGGAGACACGGTGCCCACAGAGTGGCCTTCAGTGCTTTGTGTGAGTGTAGTCTTTGAAAAAATTTTGAGCTAATTGATGCAAAATAAAATCCACTTTTTTTTTTTTTTTTTTAAACGGAGTCTTGCTCTGTTGCCCAGGCTGGAGTGCAGTGGTGCAATCCCGGCTCACTGCAACCTCCACCTCCCAGGTTCAAGCGATTCTCGTGCCTTGGCCTCCCAAGTAGCTGGGACTACAGGCGTGCGCCACCACGCCCGGCTAATTTTTGTATTTTTAGTAGAGAAGGGGTTTCACCATGTTGGCCAGGCTGGTTTGGAACTCCTGACCTCGTGATCCGCCCACCTGGGCCCCCCTAAGTGCTGGGGTTATAGGCATGAGCCACCAGGCCTGGCTTCCCTTAACATTTAAGCATGCCACGTATGTATTTATACACTCCTGTCTCTCCTTTATTAGCAGCTTACCTTTTTTCTTGTGAGATGAATTCTCACTCTGTCACCCGGGCTGGAGTGCAGTGGTATGACCCTGGCTCACTGCAGCCTCTGCTTCCTGGGTTCAAGCGATTCTCCCACCTCAGTCTCCCAAGTAGCTGGGATTACAGGCTTGCACCCCCCACACCTGGCAAAGCACGCCATTTATAATTCTGCCCTAGCTTTCATTCCTGCTTGCACTGAACGTAGAAGTGGCCAGTGATCTCACATCTTCTCTGAGTGTGCATCCTGTCCTGGAAGCGCATGTATGTAGCTTTGTCAAATTCCCTGGTATACAGAAGTGGTTTTTTTCAAAATGAGTCTCGCTTTGTCGCCCAGGCTGGAGTGTGATGGCATAATCTCAGTTCACTGTAACCTCTGCCTTCTGGGTTTAATTGATTCTCCTGCCTCAGCCTCTCAGGTAGCTGGGATTACTGTCATCTGCCACCACACCCAGCTAATTCTTGTATTTTTAGTAGAGGTGGGGTTTTACCATGTTGGCCAAGCTGGTTTCGAACTCCTGACCTCAGGTGACCTCCCGTCTCAGCCTCCTGAAGTGCTGGGATGACAGGAGTGAGCCACCGTGCCTGGTCCTGGATCTTTCTTATATCTTCACGTCTCTGCTAAAATGTTTTCAATATGCAGAGGGTGTTATATAAAAACCGTTAAGGCCTGGCACAGGGGCTCACGCCTGTCATGCCAGCACTTTGGGAGACCAAGGCGGGCAGATCATGAGGTTGAGATCAAGGTCATCCTGGCCAACATGGTAAAACCCTGATCTCTACTAAAAATACAAAAATTAGCTGGGTGTGGTGGCTCCCGCCTGCAGTCCTAGGCACCTGGGAAGCTGAGGCGGGAGAACTGCTTGAACCCGGGAGGGGGAGGTTTTGATGAGTTGGTATCGTGCCACCGCACTCCAGCCTGGGTAACAGAGCAAGACTTGGTCTCAAAAAAACAAACAAAAATACTGTTATAATGGCCTTGTTTGCTAATTCTAACATCTGTGTTAGGTCTGAAACAATTTCCATTAATTGCTTTTTTTTCATTACATGCCGTATTTTCCTGCTTCTTTAAATGTCTGGTAATCTTTGACTGGATCACACAATATGAATTTCACCCTATTGCGCACTTGATATGAATGTATTCCTGTACAAAATTAAATTACTTGGAAGCAGTTTGATCCTTTCAGGTGTTGCCTGTATAATTTCTTAGGTGGGATCTGGGAAACATTCAGGGCAGGGATACTACTCCCCGTTACTGATGCAAGACCCTTCTGAGTACTCCATCCAATGTCCTGTGATTGTGAGCTTTTCTAGTCTAGTTGAGGAAAGCAAGTACTGTCTCCAGGCCTGTGTGAGCCCTGAGTGATTTTCCGAATGGTTCTTTCTCCAGCCTTTAGGAAATGCGGACAGCACTCTCCAGACCACGCATGGAACATCCTCTGCAGACCTCGAGTTCTTTCTGCTACTCTGTCCTTTCTGGTCCTCTGGCTGCCCCTGTCTCTGGCTTTCCAGCTGGAGAGAATCTCTTAACTCCCCAGGCCTCACTGGGCAACTCACACACAGACACAGATGGGAAGGTCAGCTGTGCTGATCTCCAACTGCAAACAGCAAGTCACCTCCGCACATGTGCTGAGGGTCTGAAAAGGGCACGCATCTCAGGGCCTGCATGAAGAGTGACCTTCCTGAAAGACAGTGGCCTCAATGACCTCACTTCCGATGCCTGCTTGCTGGAGTCCAGTGGAAGCAACCACAGGCGTGCTGCCCACAAGAACACGTGGCTTCCAAGCCCAGCGGAACTTGCGGTCTCAGTTCCAACCAGGTCCAGATGTTAACGAACTTGGCCTGACTCGGACACTGCCGTGTCAGGGACCCTTAGTGCCTTCCCTCAATCCTGTGTCCAGCGTGCAGCCCCACAGAAGTGCAGCTCCAGCTGCAGCCCCAGGCACTGGGAAGATTCCTCAGGCAAACAGTTCCACAAATCAGTAGCTAATGACAAGTGAATTGGCATGAGAAAAGTGGATTCTCTGAGAGCCCTTAACAGTATAAGCTGACATGGGCTTGGGTGAGGGAAAGAACATGAGAGCTGAGTCCTGGAGCTCTGCGTGGAGTAGGGCTGTCCAGGCAAAGGGGCAGCGCAGGCACCAGCTGTGTTTCTAGAGGCTTCTGTGGCTTAGCCTGTGGGGCCCCTATGGGAGAGGCGGGATGTTCACGGTCCTGAGCCTGTCCTCTTGGGGTGTTGTCTCATCTGGAAGACAAAGTCCCAAGCAGACATTTTAACAGAGGGACTGCCATGCACACTCCCACAGATGTGGGGTGGGGGCGACTCTGGGATATTTGTTTTTTCCATGAATGGACCCTTGGCACCAGCAATGGGTATGGCATCAGCACTGCTCAGTCCACACTGCTCTGTGGAGGAATGGGATGGGGGAAATTGGGAGGGGTTGGGGCAGGGAGAGGGCTGTGGGGGTTGGCCCACGCTCTGCCATTAGGCTGGGCCAAGCCCCTTCCCTGCTTGGGCCTTGGTTTTCTGAAGCTAGCTCTACATCCTAGGATCATGTCCCCCCACAGAGAAGACCCCAACACAGGCCCTGCTGCCCCTTCCATCTATCTTGGAGCTTCCTCCTGGCAACAGGGTTCAGGCTGCTAGACCCCACCCATCATCAAGGATCACTCTTCGTGGGTCCATCTTTGTGTCATCTTTACTTCCTCGGAGCATATTCCCAGGAGTGGGTTTGTGGGGTCAAAGGGTATGCAAATTCGGCCAAAATGCTTCAGGGGAACGGTGCCCCAGTGTGCATTCTTTTTTTTTGAGAGGAAGTCTTGCTCTGTCGCCCAGGCTGGGGTGCAGTGGCCACATCTCAGCTAACTGCAACCTCCGACTCCCGGGTTCAAGCGATTCTCCTGCCTCAGCCTCCCGAGCAGCTGGGATTACACGCACCCACCACCACGCCTGGCTAATTTTTGTATTTTTAGTAGAGAGGGGGATTCACCATGTTGGTCAGGCTGGCCTCGAACTCCTGACCTCACGATCTACCCGCCTCATCCTCCCAAAGTGCTGGGATTACAGGCGTCCGCGCCCAGACTCCCAGTTTGCATTCTTATGCACCTTTACAGCCACAACTGCTACCTGGGCTGCGGAAGCAACACCAGGCCTGGGTTTGTTTGCTTTCCCTGCCCTGCCCTGGGGGTCTGACTGGTGAAAAATGGGATCCCAGGGTGGTCGGGTGCTTCTGACTCCGCGGGGCTGGTGTCTTTCCCTACCCTCAGGAACTGCCCGAATTTCTCCTCTGCCGAGTCCCTGCAGCCGTCCTTCGCCCACCAGCCCGCGGGAGTGTGACCAGCAGGCACCAGGGGAGCAGACCTCCGCCCGCAGCGGCTCCGTCCGCCGGCAGGGGAACCTCCCCACGCCCCAGGTGGCCGCAGGGTCAGGGGACCGGCGGGCTGGGGGCGCGCTGCGGGGGGCACGTCCGAATCCCCTGCCGGGCCGGCAGCGGGCAGCTAGGCTCAGCCCCCGCCCCTTCTCCCAGCTGCTCATTCGCGGCTCCCGAAGCGTTCGCAAGGGTCAACTGCGTCCGTGGGGCACAGCCCAGAGGCCAAGACAAGACCCGCTCTGGGCGACCACCCCGCAAGACAGCCCGCACCCTAGGACCCACCGTGCAGGTCCGGGACACCCGACCCACCGTCGGAAGCGGAAGTGCGTCAGGGCGGCGCCGGCAAAAACGCACCGCGCAGACTCGCTGTGGCGCTGTGACCCGGAAGCACTCGCCGACGCCCCGCCTTGCCCGCCGATTTCTCTGCCGGGGAACACGCCGCTTCCTTTCTCTACTCGCGCGCGGTGTGGTGGCAGCAGGTATGGCGCGCGGCGCGGACTGCGGGCTCGGGGCTGGGCCTGGGTGGGAGCGAGGGCTCGGACACGGGGAACGGGTTGCGGGTTGCGGCTGCGGCCGAGACCCTAGGGGCGGGTTTGCGCCGGGAGCCGGGGCACGGTTCCGGCCGTCCTCATGGCGCCGCGCGGTGACTCCGTAGGCGCAGCCTCCAGATGCAGAACGACGCCGGCGAGTTCGTGGACCTGTACGTGCCGCGGAAATGGTGAGCGCCCTCCCCACGCCCCGCTACTGCACCCCCACGTGGCCCTGCCCCTTCCACATCCCACGCGTGTCTTGGCCTGCTCTTACTCCCCCGCATCCCTCCCGTCCTTTCGCCGCCACGTCCTCTCGCGTGCCCTCATTTCCTCCGACGTTCCTCTTTTCCGTCCACACTCCCTCAACACCGTCACGCCCTGCCTTCCCTCTGCTCACTGCGCGGTCTTCCTGCGCAGCTCCGCCAGCAACCGCATCATCGGTGCCAAGGACCACGCGTCCATCCAGATGAACGTGGCCGAGGTGAGCTGGGAGCCCGGGAGGAGAAGGTGGGATGTTTGTGCCGGGAAAGGGGGAAGATACAGGCAGAGGCTGGCTTTGAGGATTGGTTTCCAATCCTCAAACTTGGGGGAGTGGTTTGTGACCCTTCTTCTCTTTCTAGGTTGACAAGGTCACAGGCAGATTTAACGGCCAGTTTAAAACTTACGCTATCTGCGGGGCCATACGTAGGATGGTGAGTGTTTGCTGGGCAGTGCTTATCACCTCGGGACGTGGTGGACTTTTCCCTGCGCATTTGACCTGTGATGGTGCCTGAGTAGATTTGCTGACAGTAGTTGGAGCCACTGGACTGTGCTGTCTGCCTGTCTGCCTGCCTCTTCCTGGGGTTGGAAGAAGGGTGCTGTGAGAAAACGCTCAGGCAGTAGACCCTGCCTCTCACTAGGAGGCACCTCCCCACGTTGCGCCCCATAGTCAGGCTGGAGGCCGCTCCCCTGCGCTTCTCCATTTGCTTAGTGGGGTGGGGGATGTGGGCTGGTCGCACAGCTGACCTTCTGCCATCTCAGGCAGCTGGAGTGGAAATCATCTTGGTGTGCTTTCTTTTTAAGGGTGAGTCAGATGATTCCATTCTACGATTGGCCAAGGCTGATAGCATCGTCTCAAAGTAAGGCTGGGGTCCCATTTGGGCAGAGCGAGTGGACTAGGGCTGGGTCTGCTCGGGATGTGGTCCTAACGTTGTCCTTTTCTCCTGGTTCTAGGAACTTTTGACTGGAGAGAATCGCAGATGTGGAGTATTTGTCCTAAATAAATAGTAAAAACCTATTCGTGGTGGTTCATTTTCTGCTGTGGGCCCAGGGCTGAGGTTTTGCTGTCAGTGGGTGATGGGGGTGGGGTGGGTACCCAGTTAGTTGAAAGGAGGCAAGCTGTGACGTGTGTCACAAAACCAAGGTTTAAAGTACAAATACATTAGCCGTTTAAAACACCTGACAACATAACTCAAACATTCCGAGGTCAGATACCCTCTTCACACGTTTACATCCACAGCTGCCAAAGCAACACCAGGCCTGGTTTTGTTGAGTCACAGCTCAGACGCTTGGACTTGTGCTAGAGAATGACAAGTTCAGACTGTAGTTTGCCTTAACTACTGGCTTTGTTGCAAAAATCCTGAAACACCACACAGTGGCAGCTCTTGGCATTATTAAAATAGACATACTGAAGGGAAGGCTTCATGTAGCCTGGTTTGGTTAATGACTGAATCTCATTACATAAATACACAAACTGAAATTACTGTGCTTATCCATTTCTTGCTTTCATGTGTAGAAAGAACCATGGAGCTGTGCGTCCCTGGAGGGCAGGTTGTAAACCGCAACAGTTACTAGAAGTCGGTCCCTTACATGTTGGTAACAAGGACAAGCTCTTGAGATGGGATCTGGGTGGCAGGAGGGTGCTTTTCAGAGCGAAGTTACCTGGGGCCCAGGGAGGTGTAGCAGCTTGGAAGACGAGTCCTCCTCTGGGTGCATGCTGGGTGTGAGGGGATCATCCTTGGCCTGAGGGCAGGCTGCTTGATAGGAGGGGATGTTCGGCAGTAAATGGGAACAAAGGCTTTGGTTTGTCCTCATCCTGGAGTCTCTCCCACACCTGCCATCTGAGTCTCGGTCCCAGCAAGTGGGCCTGGAAAAGGAGGGGGGCCGGGTGGGCACAGCTGCCTTGCACCGCTGCTGGGATCAGGTGGAGTTCTGTGATAGTGGAATTGGCATCTCCTTTCTGCAGAGGCACCCGTCCACACAAGTAGCATAGAATGTATTAATGGGCTAGAGACAAGTTGCCAGTAGTGGGAGGAAAAAGCTTGGTGGCTGGGCCAGTGGCCAGTTTTGAGACCACCTAGGAAGAAAAACTTAACGTTCCTCGGTTATTCAGTGTTTTTGATGAGGCCACAAGCCGGAGAACCGGACCATGCAAAACTCACTGCAGGAAACTTGGACAGATGTGGAAAAGCTAGAGATGGGCCCTGCTGGCCTGCACAGAAGGGACAACAACCACTTGGGGTCCTTTTAGCAGCATGGTGGGCTGCCCTGGCAAGGGTGGCCGAGACAGTACCTGTTTCCTGTGGAAGAGGCGGCGCTGACGCATGGACCCTTTAGCAGCCTTTGCAGTCCTGTGGGGTGTGGTCAGTGCCTTCCTGCGTGAGGGTCAAGTGTGGTTTCCAGTCGACTTAAGCAGACCTCATCTAAGCATCTTTTGTTCCCTTAAAAAAAAAGACCCAAAAAACCAAATCCCAAATCATAATAAATACGTTATTTTTCTCTGTCACAATATTGCTTAGAACTTAAGAGCTGGCAAGCAGCAGTTGTCCTGGAGGCCCAGAGTGTCTCCCCGAGAGGCGGGGGGGCCTGGTACGGGACGGCAGCTGTCTGTTGTGCCCGTCAGTCTGTAGGACGCGGGGCGTCAGGATTTCACAGTGACACAATGCTTGAAGAACAGGTCCAAGAGTCCAAGAATGAGGTCACGGTGAGTTCGGAGACGGCTCTTGCTGGCTGCACTGGACGCCGGAAGCCCCACTCGTGGCGCGGCGAGGCAGGCGGAGAAAGCTCTGGAGGAGCATGGCTTCAGGCAGCAGCGGGCCAGCGGCACAGCCGGTGTCGGGAGATGCTGCTGGGGAACCCACACTCAAAACAATCTCCAGCGTGAATGCCTAAAGTTAGACTTGGCAATCTGAGTGTGTTCAGTGAGGTGTGGAAACCCAGCTCCCCACCCCGATGCTGTGGTGGCCGCGGTGGCTTGCAGGAGGCGAGGCCAGGGAGAGACGCTGCGGTCGGCTTGCTGCTACATGCTGTGAGCCGAAGGCCCTGGTGCCAGGCTGGTCTTGGGCACATGAAAAAAAACCAATAACAAAACCGACATTTACTTTATGTAAAAATCCAGAATTCTCAGAAGTGCCCTTGGAGGTACGGTGCACCTGGGGTGACAGTGACGTCCCTTTCCAAGGAAACAGCATAAAAAGGCAAAAGGAAGAGCCGCGCCAGCCAGAGGCCAGGTGCCTCCTGCAGTGGGTGCTGGGGGCGCTGGCAGGCCAGGCGGCGTGGGGCTTGAGCAGCTGGGACACCTCCCAGGCCAGCACGTGCGCCTGGTGCCCTGAGCCCTCGGGCATCTGCTAGAACTGCTGGGTGAGGCGCCTGTAATGAGGTAGCACTTGGTTCTCGGGGAGATACAGGGCCAGCTCCAAAGCCACGAGCGCCGTGAACTCAAACCCGATCAGGTCGCGCCTGTTGAATCGAAACCTTTCTTCTAACTTCTGCAGGGAAGAGAGAGGAAGGTTACACGGGAGCCACCCTGCCAGCCACCCCCCGCGGCGGCCCTGGCTGGGTGTCGTGCCCGCCCGCGGGTCCAGCACTCACATCGATGAGCTGCTTCACGCCGCTCTTGCGCAGGTCGCTGCTGATCTTGGCGGCCAACAGCACGCAGGCGCCGGCGCACAGCTTGCGGTTCTGTTTGCTGAGCTTGCCCTGCAGGACCAGCTTCTCAAAGTACACGTAGGCCATGGCCACCGTCACGGGCTCCAGGCTGCACTCCTCCGACAGGCTCCGCATCTCCCGCTTTAAGCTGTGGGTTGAGACAGAAGCCATGTCCCCAGGAGCAGAGGCTGGGGCTGAGGGGGCAGCCCCCCGCTGCCAGCAACTGAGCTCAAGCGATGTGGCTTTGGGCCGTGAGAAACACCACCACATTCTCCAGGGGATGGTACCCTCCGTCATACCGTGTACAACGCCCAGGGCAGGGCGGGCACCTGGGCAGGTACGGCCGGACTGGGTCTTGGCTTCCCCCGTCCCTTGGTTGGGCACCCACGGCAGCTTCCACCTGTGCCTGGTGGGTGGAGCCACGGAGAACAGGCCCTGCTTCTGGTGGGGGGGCAGTGGCTTCTGATTAGGGGCAGTTTTAAGGCGCTGGGGTGTGGGGTGAGCTGCTCTCTGGAACACGGACAGAGGCCGGGCAGGGCAGGCCCCCAGTACAGGACCGTGGCCCAACGTGAGCCCAGCAGCTCTGCCGCCTGCGGCTTGCTTTCCTCCGGTCACAGGGGTCCTCGGCATGGCACCCTGTGAGAGCAGGGCACGTCTGGACAGCCTTGGAGAGCACACAATGTACTGGGCGGGGGCACTTTGTGGGCCAGGGGAAGGGCCACGGAATCTACTCAGCAAAATGGCACATACTGGGAGGGGCCAGGCACAAGAGGCCCCGTCCCACTCAAGTTTTTTTTTTTTTTTTTTTGAGACAGTTTTGCTGTCGCCCCGGCAGGAGTGCAGTGGCGTTATGTCAGCTTACTGAAACCTCCGCCTCCCAGGTTCAAGCAATCTTCCTGCCTTAGCCTCCCTAGTAGCTGGGATTATAGGCACGTGCCATCACGCCTGGTATTTTTAGTAGAGAAGGGGTTTCACCATATTGGTCAGGCTGGTCTTGAACTCCTGACCTTGTGATCCACCTGCCTCGGCCTTCCAGAGTGCTAGGATTACAGGCATGAGCCAGCACGCCTGGCCCCGCTCACGTTTTAAGAAGATCCTGCGCTGCGGTGAGGGTCGGGCTGAGAGGCCCGGTGGCGTCTGGGGGATGCCGTGTGCCGGGGCCGTGAGAGGCCTGGCGGGGCCAGCGGTGGGGGTGAGGGAGCTGCTGCCGGGGTCCTGGTCAGATGGCAGGAGGGGGCTGGGGATGGGCAGTGGCTGGACTTGTCAAGCTGGAGAATCTACCAGAAACTGGAGGAGAGGCTGGCACCTCCCACACAATGAGATAGCCTGAGGGGATGTCCTCACCTCCTGATTTTGCTCAGCGTCAGTTTGACATGTGGGAACTTCTCCCTGAAGGTCTCGTTCATGTCCTTCTTGAGGTCCGAGGGCTTCACGTATTCTATCACTGTGGTCTGCAACAGACAGTGGGCAGGGTTGGGCCAGCCCCTCGCACAGTCCCTGCGGCCGCCTGCCAGGTGCCGTGAGCACAGATTTCTTGCCGTTCTGGGTTTGCAAACGGGCACACGGTGCGGCTTGGGAGGCCCTGAATCTCTGTGGGAACAAAATGGCTCCAGGGAGAGGGCCCCAGAGGCCATGCGTACTCGGTGTGGGGTGCCAGGCTGCCCGGTGCCCCAAAGCCCATGTGTACTCGGTGTGGGGAGCCAGGCTGCCCGGTGCCCCGAAGCCCATGTGTACTCGGTGTGGGGAGCCAGGCTGCCCGGTGCCCCGAAGCCCATGTGTACTCGGTGTGGGGAGCCAGGCTGCCCGGTGCCCTGAAGCCCATGTGTACTCGGTGTGGGGGTGCCAGGCTGCCCGCTGCTGGGGGCCGAAGGACAAGGGCCAACCCAGCCGGAGGGACCAGCACTGCTCCCGGCCCGCCCTGCACATCGCCATCATCTGTGGTGCTGTGACCGGGGTGGGGGCACGTCACGGCCCTGGGGCGGCTTGCCCACAGCCTGCCCTGCACACCCTGGCCAGGACGGCTGCGCGGCTGCTGCAACCAGGCCTGGAGAGGGCGCTCACCATGTACGAGGCAAAGATGAGGACGCGCTTGTGCTTGCCACAGGGCCACTGCGGGTCATCCAGGAGGTTGGGGTTGTACTCCAGGGTGTCTCCCACGTCACTCCCTGTAAGAGAGGCAGCCCCTGACCCACCAGGAGTCTTGAGCAGATCCCGTTTTGCCCCGAGGTCTGGCAGGCCAGCGCCACAGTGGGACATGGCCGAGCAGCAGGGGCTCTAGGCCATGGTTCTCTCTCTTCCGAAGGGCCCAGGGCTTAGGGCAAGAAAGGGATGTCCTGAGAGGAGGGGCCCTCCCTGGAGTCATCTGTGGAC